GGGCACGTTCTTCTGGGGTGGTGGGTCTCGATGCGCGTTCCTCCAGCTGGTATCCCAGTGCATGGGCACGTTCTGCTGGGGTGATGGGCTCGGTGCGCGTTCTTCCAGCTGGGATCCCAGTGCATCGCCCCGTCTGGAGGAGCGGGAGCGCGGGGCTGTTTGGGAAGCGGGGGTGCGTTCGTTGGAGCGGGAATCGAAGGCCCTTCCAAAGGCGATCCCGGTTCTGTGTCCCAGCAGCCTGGATCGCGTACAGCAGAGCGAAGAAGGGCAGAAAGCTGAGGAGCAGCCTTTACAAGTTTCACCAAAACTGCGTCATTTTCTTTTCTGCAAGGTGTGCGTGCGGCGTCGCGCCGCAGGGGCTGCTTTAGCGTTGATTCGATGATTCAGCCAGTGACACTGTGCATGAAACAAACACACCGGCTCAGGAAATGCATTTTATAGGGAAATACCTAATCTGCAAAGTCCAATACCATGTCTTGGGTCCTGTCTAAAACATAAAATTAGAGATCACTTAACCAGAACTTGCAAGTTGTTCAGCTAAGTCTCAAAAGATCGGAAGCACCTTTTCTATGGCAGTGGCAAGACTCTCTTTTGCTTCGACAGCCTCCGTGTTTTCTAGAGCTTTGCACACAGAGGACACTAAGTTACTGAAGACCTGTAGCTCTTTTTTTGGATATCCTGAGCAAACATTTTTAGGAAGACGGTATCTGCCATGTAACCTTAATGATGCAGAACTAATTTCTTCCTGCAGAATTCATTGTTTTTAAGGGCACATTCTATAAGAAATCCCCCGTTAACAGAGGCCGTGTCCAGGCAGCGGAGGGGCTCCCCTCTGCGCGGGGTTGCAGAGCTGCAGTCCGGCTCTGGAGCAACGGGGCTCATCAGAGCAACACTGCTAACTGCTGCCTCTGAGCTACTGCTGTTGTTTGCGGTGCCAGGATGAAATGGGTGTTGAGGTTGATTTTGAGGATGTTCATAAATGGCTTTCTGGAAGAAAGAACTAACCTGAAATACGAGTTGTTTTTCTTTTCTTCGAGGTTGTGAAGAAGGTACGTGTCCATGTTGGTGTTCCCTTACCTACTGCTCAACCACGATATTAGTCTAGGGCTTATTTCTGCAGTGTTGCCATTATCCCAGTTTAAATAATGAGGATGAACGCTCACACATTCAAATTCTTATGTTAGCGATAGGGTTGCAGAGAAGGCAGTAAGCACCAATCTGCAGCCGAGCACCTGCAGTCGACCTGCCGCTGCGAGGAGACGAAGCGCGCGG